CCGAACGCGCTAACCGATTGCGCCACAGAGACACCTGGCGGTGGCGCTCCTTTCCCCCTCCCCCACCTCATTCCCTTAGAGAGCAAGCAAGCCTTCCCCTCTAGGGGGAGCCACTCGCCCTTCTCCGAACAGTCATTCCCGCTCCAAAGCCTCCGAAAACCAGAGAAACCTGTGGGAAGCCTGGGATCGGGAGATTCCGAAAGCAGAAGTGCAGCCGAGCGTCCCCGCCGCGCCTGGCGCCACACTCGCCGCAGATGCAGAACCCCGGAGACGCTCCGGGCCTGATCCGAGCGGGCCCCAGGGAAGCTGAACCCCAAGTGGGCTCAGGGCTGCCTCCCCGTTTGCTCCGCCTTCATTCGACCGTCTGCGCCCCTGGCGTTTCTCCCTGCGTTCAGCCGGCCAAGGGAGCCAGAAAGAGGGCTTGAGAACGGTTGATCAAAACAGAAATATAAAGAGACGGGAATGAAGCCGGGGTGGCAAGGACAAAGCAAAAATAACTTCTGCAAGCCCATGCAGAGACGAGGACTGGACGCAGGGGAAATGAAAAATGCAACAGACTTGAGAGGGCGTAAGGGAGGGAAGATGTGAGGGAGAATCAGGAGTGCCTGCAATTATCCAGCAACAAAGCAGCACAGTAATTGGAACGGATTTGTCAAAGTTAAAAGAGCAATACCGCCCTTCGCCTTCCGTACAGTGGCGCGCCGTGATCGTATAGTGGTTAGTACTCTGCGTTGTGGCCGCAGCAACCTCGGTTCGAATCCGAGTCACGGCAGTCTTTATGTTTTGCATTGTATCTACCGAAGCATCTCTTGGCCTGGTCGCCGACCGCCAAAACGAGGAGGGTCAGGAGAACGGAGGTCACTAGGTTATAGAGCTCTGGACGTGCTCCAGATCTCGCCATTTAAGAGAAAATATCTATAGACCAGGTTCAAGCTCTAAATGAGTCTTGTATGTATATTCCACGAAAGAAACTGTCTAGTTGTACGGGGATTTTGTTTGTTTTTTGGTGGAAATATTTCAAGTATCAGTCATGCTTTTTTTTTAAACACAAAATAAAACAGATTTTAAAGAGTTTACAGTATACTGCAAACTGGTCATGGTCTACTCGGGATTTTCTGACATCCCACCTCCCATCTTTATCCTGAAAGGAAATTATTGTGTTTACAGAACAAAATGTTTGTATCATTAATGGACAGCTGTTTTAATATTGTAATGTGTAGTTGTCACCAGGATAGACAGAAAATTTTTATCATTCAAGCATGGCCCTTGATACTTTCCAGGTAATGCATATCCATCCTCTGATACTTAACTCTGATGTCTGCTCATTCAGGTGAGGCTTCTTTCTTCAAGTTCATGTGAATGAATATATAATTTTTCTATCTAGCTATTAACAAGCAATGTGATGTTTTTGACATATATGTATGTTATTGAATTTCTCACACCTTAATTTTGGCATTATGCCAATATAAAACTATGTCACAAATAATGGACATTTGGATAATTTCAAACTACAGCTTTTGGGAAAGGCTCATATAAATGCCATTCTACCAGTTATTTGTGGATATGAGCATAAAAGTTCATTGAAAGAAAAGGAGTAATGGACAGGAAATTGTCAAGGAAGGCAAGACCAATGGATTTCTATCCTAGAGATTTTAGTATGCCAGAGTGGAGAGGAGCAGTGAGGCAGGTCATAGAAAAGTGGAATATTTACTGCCACTGAAGAGCACTGAAAAGGTGACTAGAAAGTAGATTACGGCTGCCGGTTACCACGTCTAAACACTCACGGTTCCATAACCTTATTTGCCACTAGCAACAGCTGCAGAAAATTGCCTCCTCTCACTTCTGCAATTTCTGAGTGCATCTCCATAAACCTTACATTTTTCACAAAATGTAACTCAAAATAGTTCATAGACCGAAAAGGAACATGCTAAATTATAAAAGTTCCAGAAGATAGCATAGGAGAAAATCTATGTGACCTTAGGCTTGACACTAAGTTTCTTGGGTATGAAACTCCATAGTGCGATGTAGTCCGAGACTGGGATAGGAAAAAGGATATGAAGTTTCAGTTTCAAAAATTCCAAACCTCAGAGGTTTCAGCAGATAAACTCGGTGCTTCAAAGACATATTCCTAACAGGAGGGGTCTGCAGCATTAGCGGTTTGGAAGCACTTCATGACTGCAAAAACTGATTTTTCCAACTAAGACAGTTCCTTAAAGGATAAGAACCACAGAATCTTAAGCTGTGAATTAGTCAGGAATCAAACCCCAGTCCCCGGGATGGGAAGCAAGAACGCTACCACTAAACCATCAGTGCTTCCCTCTGAGCCATTGTTCTTGGCACCACTAGAAAGAGTCACAGGAATGATGTTGCAAAGCCAGTTCAAAAAATCAGTTTATACAAGCCTCTTTACTCGAAATGCAGAACAAAGCCCCAAAAGCACACCCAGAACAGAAGTTTGTACAGGAAGTTTAGGTCAGGAAACACCATCAAGATGTGAAATTCAAATCAAAATACTGGACTTCATTTCCTCACTTAAGATGCATTCTCTTTGCCCTTCCATGGCTTGGTGCCTTCCAAACCCTTTCCCCTCACTCTTGAGACAAACACCAATTCTTTCCCAAACAGGCATATCCGGACCCAGAGACAGTTGGGAGGCTCAAAATATGGAGATGTGCCTGAGTTACTCCAGAAGATCTGAATGACAATTAAGCCTCTCTTCTCCTACGGCTCTTTTTTTCTTTCTTTTTTTTAAAAAAAAATTTAAAACAATTTAATATCCTCCTCTCCTGATTCAATAACAGTAACATAAATTATAACAAAAATTTATTCAAGTAGACAGCTAAGTGTATTTAATCTATTCTCTTCAGAATTAATGATTAACCAGATAAGATACTCTTTTGAGTTGTTGAAAAAGGCCAAGAATCAAATGGCCTTGCTTTTAAGCTCTTGTGTTTGAGAGAGACCTACAAAAGGGTGAATAAATGAAAATTTCACTCCAAGATTTCCCTTTAGCCCCATCCTCTTTGGTCACTCAAGGAGGACATGCAGAGAAGAATGATTGCATTTGATTCTGGGTAGATGCTGGATTGCTACTCTTCTGTCTAACACAAATTTCTTTTGCCCTTTGCCTTGTCTAATATTCAAATTATCCCTTTTTTATTCTTTTTTTTTTTTAAACAATTAGCCTGGTATAGACCAAGCACTAATCCATGCACAATCACTGCAGAGCCCCAGAGTTTCTCTCCTCCTGAGCATCTTTTAAGTCCTTAGAAAAGCTCAAGGATCAAAATGGCCAGTTTTCAAACTCTTGTGTCTTACAGAGACCTACACAAAAGTATAAGTGAACTTTTTACACCAAATTTTATTCTCTTCATCACACCACACCATACCTTTCTCCTCTCCTTCCCAGCTCTTGAGTTGTTTTCAACTCTGAAGATCCACTCAAGATCTTTTTACCACATTACACTCAAGCAAAACTCTATTTTTGATCATTTTATTCTCCACCTTTTTCAGTTGTTATGCTGCAGTTCCAATGCTTTGCAGACTAATCATTCTGCCTATCTTGCTAAATTTATTTTTTCTTTATCTGTTAGTGTGTGTGTGAGAGAGAGAGAGAGAGAGAAACTTTATTTGCTCCCCTCTCTCTCTCTTTCCTTGTTTAACAACTCTAGACTGTAAACTATGCTAGGCACTGTGCTATCTCTTGAAAATATTTTATTTACATACCTAGTCTTGGTTTTTTGGGGAGATATAAATCTTTTTCTTATGAAAATATGTCTTTGGAAGACAGAGTCAAGTAAAATGTGATTTTGTTAGAACACAATGTCAAAAACAAAGTGGACACATCACACATTCAATTCCAGCAGTCAGGAAAGTCTCTCCAGGGGAAACTTCTGAACTGAGACCTGAAGAATGAGGATGAGTTTGAAGAATGAAGAAGGAGTTTTGAAAGGCCTCCCTGTGGAGAGAAGCAAGTCCCTGAAAGGGGGAGAGTTCCTGGAATATCAAGTTACTTCACTGTTGCTCGACTTGGGGATTGGCAAGAGGTATCTCGATGATAAGGAGGGGGAGAAGGAGCGTACATGTTGTAGAGGTAATAAGACATTTTAGTGAAGGAATATGGGGATACTGGGTGGCTTTAGGCAACAACGCGTGTTCAGATTTGGGCTGTGCAAGGTCTCTCAGGATACAGTGAGGCAAATGAATACTACTTAGCCATAAGAAAGAACAAAATTTTGCCATTTGCAGTTCATGGATGGACTTGGAGGGCATTAAGCTGAGTGAAATTAGTCATTCAGAGAAAGACAAATACCGTATGGTATCACTTATAGGCAGAACCTAAAAAGCACAACAAACTAGTAAATATAACAACAACAACAAAAAGATAAAAAGACCAAACTAATGATTATCAGTGAGTGGGGGGCAACATAAGGTTGGGAGTGTGGAAGGTTCAGACTATTAGGTATAAGATAAGCTCAAGGAGGTATTGTACGACATGATGAATATAGCCAATATTTAGTAATAACTGTAAATGGAAAGTAACCTTTGAACTTGTATATTTTGAAGTCTTAAAAATAAAATTTTTAATTAAAAATATTTTTTGACTTGCCTATTCTGACAAGTTAGACCATTTTCTCTGACTCTTTAAGACCATTGCATAGACTCTTTAAGGTGAAGTTTAAGGTTGACAGTTGAAGGTCTAAGGTTATAAACAAGGGATCTGGATGAATCTCCAATGTTTTTCTTCAGGGGTCTATTCTCAGAGCTGTAATGTGAGCTAACAAAACCAATATTTCTATATTTTCATTTGGGGGTCCCCACTGCATGCTTTTGCCTGATTGTCTGTCTCTTTTGCAAGCCTTTGCTTTGAGTGCCTTTCAGTCTGTGAGTTCTGTCTTCCAAAGACAACACCTATTTGGGAAGTCTTTTGTTGCCCCACCACCAGGCCCTTGGTCATTGGAGATTCTTTCTGGAGAGCTGGCAAGACTGCTTGAGGCAAGGCATTGGTGGTTCAGTGGTAGAATTCCTGCCTCCCTCGCGGGAGACCTGGGTTTGATTCCCGGCCGGTGCATATTGGTCAAGTACTTTTCACACTTCCTCCTTGTTTTGCCTAGTGCACAGTCAGGTCTGAATACTACGCGGTTCCGGCCACCAGGAGCAAGAAAAGGAGAACTGAAAACCTCGAGGTGGTTCTGAACAGAAGACTGTAAGGTGACGACTCACCTGGGGCTTCGCAAAGCTCTGATGTGTTTGGGTATATGGAGCAGCATTTGGCGGCTGGCCGCGCAGCGCAGCAACTACCTCGCTGGTGTGTTCGTACCTTTCAATGTGTAAGTATTTCTGTGGGCCTTCGACTTAGAATATTTGGACTTGTTAGTTTTCAGTTTTTCTCCCAGAAGGTCTTAGCAACCCAAAGAGCCATCAGGTCGCTGATTCGCACTCTGGAGCTTGGGCTGACGGATGGGCCACAACCCACCAGGGAGCGGGAATCAAGACAGCAGCTGCGGCCCGGCCGACCCCCCAGTGTCCGGGGAGGCGCCAGCGGCCCAAGGCAGAGGAAAGCCTGAGGGGAGGGATCCGCGAGGACAGGAGCGGGGATGCGAAGACGGGGTCTTGCGCAGTAGTGGCGAGAGGTCTCTGAGTCTGTGCGCCGGACGCTGTGACAAATTTAACACCGTCAGCCACCTCGGCCTCTGAGTGTCCTGTGAGCCCATCGGTGTTCCAGGAAGGATATCCTGTACCTGGAAATATGTGTCAACAGTACTATATATTAGATTAATTTATTTTCTAAAGATCATCAACTATTTTCCAAGATAAGACCAATTTTGTCATAGCATTCAATGAGCTTTCTTGGTGATTCACACGGTAAAAAATTTGCCTGCAATACAAGAGACCTGGGTTCAATCTATTGGTCAGGAGGAACTCCTTACTCCCTTCTTCCTGTCCCAGTGTTCTTTTCTGGGGAGTTCGATGAACAGAGAGGCTATATGTCCCACTGGATCCCAAAGAGATGGACACGACTAAGTGACTACTTCTTACATACATTATTACTATATTATTTTGATTCAGTATTTAACACTTTCCACATACTTTTTTTCTTATTTTTCTTTATTTTCACATACTTTTGTAACACATTACTTGATTCAGTATTTTTAAATTACAGCTATATTCAGCAATGACAGCCCTATAACTTCTGTTTGTTACATTGTCTTTTTTGGAGAGTTTGGCTTTAGTCTAAACTCATACAATACATTGGAGAAAATGTGCCATCTTTTAATTCTTTTGGAATTTCTTTGCTCAGGAGCCATTTCTTCCAATGAACATTTTTTAGTCCTGGAGCTTTCTTTGCAGGGAGATTTAAAAATTCTTACTTGAAACAATTTAGTGCTTGTAGACTAGTTCATTCCAACCCCCCTACCCCCAAAATCATTATTGGGACAAATTATTCAGTTCCTCTAAAATATTTGTGTTTAAGAGATTCACTTATTGTTCCCTTATGTCTACAAGTTTAGTAGCAATGACTTCCTTTTTCTCTCTTAACAGTTTTATCAGCTTTAATAGTCTTTTCAAAGTCAACCATTTATATTTTCTCTTCTGTATATTTATTTCTAACTTTGAAATTCCTGCTTTTCTAGATAATTTCTACTTCTATCTGCTTTTGTTATTGTTATTCTTTTAGTAACTGTAAGATGAAGATTTATCTCCTCAGCAATCAGCCTTAATTTTCATAATTTGCATTTATGTTTGTGTTCAGTTCAGTTCAGTTGCTCAGTCATGTCTGACTCTTTGCGACTCCATGAATCGCAGCATGCCAGTCCTCCCTGTCCGTCACCAACTCC